GTACCATGGACTGCCAAAAAAACAAAGAGATTCATCCTGGAAGGGGTCAAACTGGGCAGCTCCCTGGAGGCAAAGATTCGGAAGTGCCGTCTAACATACATTGGACATGTTGTAAGGAGGGACCAGTCCTTGGAGAGGGACTTTAGGCTTGGGAGGGTGGAGGGACAGCGCAGGAGTGGAAGGCCCTCTATGAAGTGGATTGATTCAGTGACTGGGGTAATCGGGATGGGAGGGTCAGAGACAGTGCAATTGTCACAGGACAGAGCAGGATTTAGGGCTGTTGTACATAGGGTCGCTATGAGTTGCAAGCAACTCAACAGCACATAACAACCTGGCTAATTAAGAAAAAGGTCTGCTACTTAATTCTAATTCATTGCTGTCAATTTGGAACCCACTTCTAGCTAGTCCTCCAGACAGTTTTCCAGAGGCTCTCAATAACATATGAAGAGATGGTCCATATTTCTCCCATGTAGCAGACACCGGAGGGAGAGGTACCACTTTTGTGTTAGCAGCTTCCTGTGGACTATGCCACCAGGACAAAGAATGAAGTCAATTTTCCCTAGTGTATTCAAGAATATTTATCTATGTCAGATACCCATTTAGACTTTTACTCTTCCGTGTGTTACACTTACAAAGATACTTTGGAGTTACCTCTGAACACATTGAGGACACAGCATGTTATCTTCTATTTCTGGAGATGGAAAAACACAGGCTGGTAATATTAACAGAGAAATCATCTTTCGAGGACTGTCTGGCACCCAGACACGACCTGAGTGGAACTGCAGATGAACCCAACCATCTACGTCTGAGGGGAGAACTCGGCCATGGACCACACACCATCTACCACCTAGAAAAAGAACGAGAAGCAAAATCAAGGACTAATACCCCCAATCCAGCTTGTTATGCAGTCACAGTTTTTCTAAAACAAAACAAAACAAAAAACCAACTGAAACAGAAGCATAAAAATATAGATCAAAAGACACTAGAACTTTCTAAATTATGTCTCATTAGGAAGAATATGGTAACTTTTTAGGTTGTCTGTATCCAAGTTTTTGTGGTTGTTGTTAATTGCTATCAAGTCAGCTCCTGCTTATGGTGATCCTATGAAGGGCAGATCAAAACCTGCACTATCCTACCAATCTCTGCTATTTTTAAATTCATTGTTGTGATCACTGTGTCAATCCATCTTGTTAAGCATCTTCTGTAACTAAACCTTCACATTTCCAAGCAGGTAGTTCTTTTGCAAGTTTGGGACCTCATTAGTACATGAATTGAAGTCTCACTCTTTTCTCTACTGAGTATCCTGGCTGCACTTTTTTCCAAAATAGACTAGTTTGGTGTAATGTTTTTATTCTGAAGAAAACTATTATTGATCAACCTTTCTGTTTACTTTTATTATTTACAAATGAAAAAGTAAAGTTTAGCAGTTTTAGTTTTCCCAGAGTCAAGACGTAAAATTCAGGTTGTTGTTTTGGTTGTGTGTTTTGTTTTTTTAAAATTCAGGTATTTTAATACACAGTAATTTCCTTAACCTCCACACTATATTGCCTTAGTTATCAAGAATAGGCAAGAAAAGACTATTCAAAAGCTTGCAAAATTTATGTATAATGGCCATAAACGCATGAACATGAATGTTTATGAATATAGAAATAAATAAGTAAATTTATAAAGAGATAAATGTATACTATCTCTGCAAACACACTGGAGTGTCAGCTTTGCATTAGCTCTGGGTCAATGGCACACTGTAACATGATCATGAAATAAATCAGGGCTATAGGAAACACTGTGTAGTAAACTAATAATATTTAGGAAGGAAAACAAGTCACAGCACACACATACATGCACACAAACTCATTTCATTGAATTTATTCTGATTATGTTGATACTGTTGCATACAATTGAGTCAGAACCCACTCATAGCTGATCCTTCGGTGGGTTTTTAGGAGCAGTAAACTGCACAGGAGATTGCCATTTTTCTCCTGTGGAGAAGCTGCTGGATTTGAAACGTGTGCCTTCGGTTAGGCAGCACTACCCCTTACCCCTAGGCCCCCAGAGTTCCCTATGTATTGTTGTATAGTGTCAAATTCAAACTGACCCATAGCTGACCCTCCTGAGGCAGTAAATCCCATGGGATATTATCCATCTTGCTCCCGCAAAGCAGCCGGTGCATTTTTACCACATACCTGTGCTTTGAAAGCATAAGAAAACAAAAATCCTCACCACTGAGCAAATAGGCAGCATTATGATAGATGGAGAAAAGATTGAAATCATTAACAATTTAATCTTGCCGTCTTGCTTGGATCCACAGTCAACATCCTTGGTACCAGCATTCAAGAGATTGTGAGACATAACATTGGCAAAGTCTGCTGTCAGGGGTCTCTCCAATGTCCTTAATAGCAATGACATCAATTTAAACACTAACGTGCAAAAGAAAAAACAAACAAACAAACAAACAACAACAAGCAGACATGCCTTGGAGAAAGTGTAGCTGGACTCTATCTAGGGGGTAAAGACAGTGAATCTTCTATTTTGTAGTTGCATGTGCAATAAGTTAAAGAAATAACTTTTTATAGAAACATTTCAAGAAAAATTGATAAAAGAGATGATCACTAAAATTGGGAAACAGGTATTTCACATTTAGAAGGAAGAATTTTAACTGAGAAGCAGTACAGTAAGGTGTTTTGGAATCCAAGGAATGCTGTTTCTTTGTGTTGCTGCTGCTGTTGTTGTTATGCCTCATTGAGTATTACTATGACTCATAGCAGCCCTATGAAGAACAGATCTACCCTACCCTATACCACCATCACTATTTATTAAATACTTGAGCCCCTTGTTAAAGCCACTGTGCCAATCTATCTTAATTAAGGGTCTTCCTCTCTTATGCTTACCCTCCAACTTTCTAGCATCATGTCCTTTCCTAAAAAGTGGTTCCTCTTAGCAATATGCCCATAGTATCTGAGACAAATCTTCACAATCCTTGCCTACAAGGAGCACACTGGCTTCATTTTCTCTAAGACTTAATTGTTTTTTCTATTGGCAGTCCATAGAATGCATTCAATGTTCTCTTCCAAAACCACAACTTAAAGACATCTATTTTTCTTCATCTTTAGTCACTGTCCAATTTTCAGTTGCATAAGAATTAACAAGACGGTGGTTTGGTTTAATCTGCTATCACTGTTCATCAGCACCTTGGATAATTCCTTGATTTCAGATTTTCCCAAAGCAACACATATTTTGATTCTTTGACTGCTTGCACCGATGGTGTGATTATGGATCCACATAAGATAAAATATGTGCTGTTGTTGTTGTTGTTGTTATGTGCCGTCTAGTTGTTTGCGACTCATAGCGACCCTATGCACAACAGCCCTAAACCCTGCTCTATCCTGTGCCAACCGCACTGCCTCTGACACACCCATCCCGATTACCCTAGTCACGGAATCAATCCATCTCATAGAGGGTCTTCCCCTCTTGCGCCGTCCTTCCACCCTCCCAAGCATGATGTCCCTCTCCAAGGACCTGTCCCTCCTTGCAACATGCCCAAAGTATGTCAGACGAAGCCCCAGAATCCTTGCCTCCAGGAGTAGCTTGGTTTAATCCTCTCCAGGATGAATCGGTTTGTTTTCTTGGCAGTCCAGGGTACATTCAATACTCTTCTCCAGCACCACAGCTCAAAGGCATCAATTCTCCTTCTATCCCCCCTAGTCATTGTCCCACTCTCTGATTCATAAAAAGTGATTGCAAAGACCATGGCCTGTATCAGGTGGACCTTAGTCTCCAGAGAGACACCGTTGCTCTTGAGTACTTTAGAGAGGTCCCTAACAGCAGACTTTCCCATCACAATACGTTTTTTGATTTCCTGACTGCTGGTGCCAAGAGGGTTGACCGTGGAGCTGAGCAAACCGAAGCTGTGAACAATCTCAATCTCTTCGTCATCCATCCTGACGCTGCCAATTGGTCTAGTGGTGGAATCTTTGTCTTCTTGACATTGAGCCTCAGTCCATACTGAAGGCTGCTGTCCTTGACCCTCTGCAGCAAGTGCATGAGGTCCTCCTCAGTTTCAGCAAGCAGTGCTGAATTTGTGCTAGTGTTGTTTATAATTAAGGCTAGTGTTTGCTTGTAATTGGGCTGCTTAACCAACAGGTTTGTGCTTTAAACCTACCAGCCACACTCAGTGGGAGAAAGATGAGACAGTCTGCTTATGTAAATATTTACAACTTGGAGATTCTTTGGGGTCATGTCTACTTTGTCCTGTAGTATGTCTATGAGTCAAAATCTATAAAGATGACGGTAGACAGTGAGTCTTCAGGTTGTGTGTGATCCTACAATCAGATTATCCTTTTGTCTCACCAGAGAATTCTGCTAAATAATGAGTCTCCACTCAAGTATCTGATTTTAAAAATCTAACCAATGCTAAAATCTTAACCCTCTCTAGGATGCACCTTTGGAAGCACGAGTGGCATCCACTTCCATAAATAGCTTGCCCCTAGAAATCCTATGAACCTGGAGAAAGGATGAAAGTCACACATGCAAGCATGGAGGACTTTTGTTCATAGGGTCACTCTGAGTCGCCTATGACTCAGCGACACTTAACAACAACAACAACCAATGCTAGGAGTCAGAACTGACAGGATGGCAGAGGGCTTTTCATATTTTAATCTAGCTCCTTTTAAAATGAATTGTAAAATGAGAAGAGTTTAATAACAACCTTTCACTTATAGTAATAGGTGTTCAGTTAGCCTATGCCCAGATTCTGATATTTAGCTGTGCAAGCTTATATAGCTCTGCCGATTATCACCATAGAATACTTCTGTCCAATCAGAGCTCACAATTTCCCGGCCACCCTCACTTCCATTAGCCTGCAACTTGTGTCCTCCTAGAAGTAAATCACCTTATTTTGAGTTAACATCCCCATTCATGTAAGTCTTATCAGTTGCACTGGGAGAGGAATAAATAATTCAAAACAACAAAATCTACCCAGAAATCACATGGGTATCTATCAATGAAGGAAAAGCTCAGTCCTGTGTGAATCCCATCTGCAATATATAAATCCATTGAGCTCAATTAACCCTTCGAAAATTAACCTAGTTTCCCTTTCTAGAAGAGTACTCACTCATTAAGGTTGCTCTTACCAACGACTTTCGGCAAAAAGGTCTCAGCTGCAGGAGGAATACGACATGAATTGACAGCCTTAGGCTGAGCTGCTGTTGAAGAAATTCTTGTCCAGGTTGCCATTATGGCCTCCTCAGATGATGTGACCACTTCGGCTATGTAGGTCCTTTTCTCTGTCTCCATTGTATTAGAACTT